CTTAGCATCTAGGGCCTTGCCTGCCTTGGCCAACAGAGTCCTTGTCAGCCGTCCACTAGCTTCCATGCCTTCCCTTACACCCCGCTGGTGCATACGGATGTCCTGGCTCTTCTGAGGTGTCCAGAACTCAGTCGTAGGCTTAGGGGGTGGTGTTTCCGGCCGTGCAGGAAGAGCCTGACTTTCCAGGACTGTGATGGGCTGAGCCCATGATGGCCTCGGCAACCCTCGGCCGTGGTATCATGATAACGTCATCCTGAAGCAGGCAGTGTCTGTGTGTTCCGGAGCATATAAGAGCTGCCCTCTCTTCCTGTCATCTAGTTCTCTCTTTTCTTCTTCTCTCTACATTCGAGGCAAACTCGTAGAGTCTTCACCAGCTAGTTGCAATATACTCCTGGGACCGTTACAAGGACTGCCTCGGGGTCTTCCAGCACTTTAGATGGATCCAGCGGCTAAATACCTGTGTTCCTAAACCCAGAGATGATATCCCTAGCAGACATTCCAAGCCTAGATGCATCCCTATAGCAATAGAGGAACCGTCGCTTGTTTACGGCAGCCGATGCTGTGAAGCTTGCCAGGGCCTTGGTAGCTTGCCGGAAGTAGTTTTTCAGAGCTGAGAAAACACTGTGGTCGAGAGGCTGAGTTTTGTAGGAGGTGTGAGCAGGCAGATAGACCAACTGAACCTTGTTTAGCCAAGCTGTAGCCATGAAGTCGCCGGTTGTATGACTGGAATGCTCGTCGAGGACCAGTAACCTCCACTCGTCACCTTGAGGCTTGGTTTGTGGCAGATACACCTCTTTTAGCCACTTCAAGGCAATCTGGCTATTGCTCCAGCCAGTGAAACTGTAGTCAAACTTCCAATCTGGGAAGTCTGCCTCTAGTTCAGCTTTAGCAGGAAACCATTGGCCCTGAAGGGAAGCCCCGGTAAAGACTAAGGTTGGCGATAGTCATACCCCCTCTGCAGTGCCACACTCAAGGACAGTAACCCATGTAGTTGTATCAGAGCTAGTTGTATAAGCCCTGCTTGTAAGGAAACTGCCAATGACTGTGCCGGCCGTAGTTTCGAGCTCCTGCATGCCATGCTCGTCATGGTTGGCGATATTCGCGGGTACGATGTTCTTATCGCGGATATGGAACTCCAGCCTCTCATAGAAATCTTGGTAAGCGTCCCGTGTAGAGCCTTTCGTACGAGAGCTTTCCAACAGAGCTGATTTCTTAGTTTTGACAGCATCGTGGCGGCGTAGAAAGCGGTCGATCCATCTAGCACCCAGGGGCTGATGATCACCTCCTTCAGCCAAGATGGCCTGCGCAAAAGCCACCACCTGGTTACGGCTAGGAGCCCTTCCAAACTTTCTTCATTGAGACACCAGTCAACTACATGCCTCTCTTGCACAGGACTGAGCCGTTGTTCGTGGATTTTGGCTTGTTGTCGAGGGTGGGCGCCATGAAGCCGTCGGTTCAGGGTAGACTGTGGGATGCTGTACTTTTCCGCTGCATCTTTCCGGAAACAAAGGCCCTCTCGAACCTCAGTTATAGCCAAATGAATAAGCTCTTCCCGGATAGCGGTCATGTTGATTTTGGCCCAGAAGTGGATGAGTTGTGTTGAGTTGAAGTTAGTGATGTCTGGAATGGTGGTGTGGTGCCAGGATTCCATTGTGGGGCCGATTCCGTTGCGGGGTCCAGACGTCTAGACCGGATCAGAGTAATCTGCAGGGATGAAAGCGAAGTTGCCTTAGTCAAGGAAGTAGTGTAGAAGATCACGGTGCCAGGAGTGCGCGTGCTAAGGGGACCAGCTATACCCGGTGAGGATTGACAATACCAACCGGATAGCAGTCCTTGACGTAGAGGGAAACATCCTCCCTGGAGCAGCAGAAGTTGTAACGGGCTGAGCCCGTAAAGGCCTCGGCAAACTCTCGGCCAAGACTCGAGATTCGGTGGACTTCTATCTTATTCGATATCGGCGCACAGGCC